TTTTTCAGGTATATATATTGAGAAAATGTTTCCTCCCAGCCTGTGGCTTGTCTTTTCATATTCTTAATGGTGTCTTTTTAGTTTTGATGAAGTTCAAGTTGTCAAAGTTTCTCCCCCAAAGTTCATTTTTTTTTGTCCTAAGAAATCTTTGCCTGCCCCAAGGTCACAAAGCTTTTCTCCTATATTTTTCTCCTGAAGTTTTATAATTTTATCTTTTATCTTTAGGTCTCTGATTCATTTAGAAATGGTGTAAAGTAAAGGGTAGGGCTCATTCCTCTACATATGGCTAGCCAGGTGTTCCAGCACCACTTGTTGACAAGAGTGTCCCTTTGTTATTGAATTAATTTACATTTGTCAAAAATCAATTGCCCAAATGTGTGCAGGTCTTATTTCTGGACTCTGTATTCTGTTCCATTAATCTATGTCTATTTTTATACCAACATTCAACTATCTCGATTACTGTAGCTTGATCTACTGTAAGTCTTAAAATCAGATAAAAGTCCTCCAGCTTTGTCCTTTTTTCAAAATTGCTTTGGCTAGTCTAGGCTTCTTGCATTTCCATTTATTATTATTTTTTTATCTTTTTTCTTCTTTTCCCCAAAGGCCCCCAGTGCATACTTGTATATTCTGGTTGTAGGTCCCCCTGGTTGTGTTATGTGGGATGCTGCCTCAGCATGGCCTGATGAGTGGTGCCATGTCTGCCCCCAGGATCCAAACTGGCGAAACCCCGGACCGCCAAAATGGAGCGAACCCAACAACTCAGCCACCGGGCTGGCCCCTTGCATTTCCATTTTAAAATCAGCTGTTTGTTCTCAAATAAAAAAGCCTTTAGGATTTTGATTGGGATTGAGTTGAATCTACAGGTCAATCTGTGGGAGAAATAACATCCTAATCATACTGAGTCTTCTACTCTACAAACATGGCATATGCCTTTATTTATTTTCTCAGACATGGTTTTTAGTTTTCAGGGTACAAGCCTGACTTACAGAGTCATGTACCGCATAATGACCTTTTGGTCAACGATGAATTGCATATACGATGGTGGTCCTGTGAGATTAGTACCATAGAGCCGAGGTGTGTAGTAGGCTAGACCATCTAAGTTTGTGTACTCTATGATGTTCACACAACAAAATTGCCAAAAGGCGCATTTCTCAGAACATATCCCTGTTGTTAAGTGACACATAACGGAACGTAAAAAAAAAATTTATTCCTAAGTAATTCCAAGTTTTCAATGCTATTGTAAATGGTATTTTAAAAATTCATTTTCCAATTCTTCACTGTAGTATGCAGAAAAATAATTATTTTTTATGTATTGACCTAGTATCTTGAAACCTTGATAAACTCACTGGTTAGTTCCAGTAGCTTTTTTGTATATGCTATAGGATATTCTACATACAAGATCATGTTGTCTGTGAATAAATTCAGTCTTATTTCTTCTCATAGGAGATTTTAAATCTTGTGGCTACAGATAGAGCCACCCACAAGGGATTGGTGACTTGTCTAGGTGGCAATACACAGGGCTTTCTCCAAGGTCTAGGGTGCCAGAGAGTGGGTGAGCATCCGATTCTTCCAACTATGAGTGTGTAACAGAGGGACAGATGTCAGTCTCTTCGTGCAGGGACTTGACCTCACACTGGCCTTGATCCTGGAAGAAAAAACACACCCAGCACACTACAAGTAGCAGAGGGACAGGCTTAGACGGCCTTCTTGGTTCGTGAATATCCTTCTTATGCTTGCACTTGACCTTAGCCATGAATTAGCTGGCTGACTGGTTGTCAAGGTATTCTTCACTCAAGGAGGTGTCCTCAAGATGTAGACTTGTCATCAACAATTTCGTCTTGCATAGTGGGGACAGACACATAAAAAAGGCCACCTCCCAGGTCAAAGACCAGAACATTTCTTTTGACCTCAACCTCGCACAGGTCAAGTGGCAGTGGCAGTGGCAGTTGGTTCACTGATGATTCTGAACACAAGGAGATCAGCAGTGGTGGAAGTGCCTTGGTGGCCTGAAGCTGGGAATCTTTAAAATAACAGTAGTGTGAGGATGATGTCGGTCACAGAGCCTATGAAGTAGGCTTCTAAAATTTTGCTGCCTTTTTCAAAACCTTTGTCAAAAAGCCTTCAGACTTTTTCAGAGGCTGTGGTAAGCAGACTTCTAAGACGCCATGCAAAGATCCCCGCCTCCTGGTGTTCACACTCTGGTGTCATTCGCTCCCCTAGACTGTGGACTGGGCCCACTAACGTGTTGCTAATAAAGAGAATACAGCAAAAGCGACGGGAGAGACTGTGACTCGTCTTGCTAACATTCTCTCGCCCTCTCTCGTTCTCTCACTTGCTCACCCTGACAAAGCAAGCTGCCATGTTGTGACAGGCTCTATGGAGAAGCCTATGTGGCAAGGAACGGAGGGAGGCATCTGGCCAAGAGCTCAAGAGAAACTGAGTCTTCAGCCCAACAGCTTGAGAGGAATTGAATCTAGCCAACAACCACATGTGTGAACTAGGAATAGGAAGGGAATTGTTCCCGGCCAATCCTGGATATGATTGAAGCCTTGTGAGAGAGCCAGAGGACCCCGTAAGATGCTCCTAGACTCCTGACCAATAAACACTGTACGATGGTAAGTGCTGTTTTCAGTCACTAAGTTTTGGAGCAATTTGTTTCACAGTAATAGTTAACTGAGATGACCACAGGAGATGGCTCATCTGTATAAAACTTTTAGTGTCTCCCCCTTCTTCATCCCCTGGATCCTCAGCCTGTGTACACTGTCCACAACCATAAAAGGCCAAGGCTTTTCATGTCTAACCAGACAACTGGATTGTCAAATTTGTATCTAGTGAGACATTTAGTATCTGAAACTGTTGATGGAGTCCACTGAAATTTGATTCTTACAGCATCACTGATCATAAACATAACACTTTAGGCAATGTGGAAAATTGGAGGTATTAAAATTAGTTGTAGGGAAAGAGAAAAGACAACCAACAGACACTAACATCAAGATGAATCAGATGTTGGAGTTATCTGACAAGGATTTTAATCCATCATAAAAATGCTTCAATAAGCAATCATGAACACACTTGAAACAAATGAAAAAACAGAAAGCCTCAGCAAAGAAATACAAAACATAAAGAAGAACTAAATGGAAATTTTAGAAGTGAAAAATACAATAACCAAAATTTAAAAACTCAGTGATGGGCTCAACAGGAGAAGGAAGGTAATAGAGGAAAGAGTCAGTGAACTCGAAGACTTGAAGAACAAGGGAAATTACCTATTATGAACAATGGAGAGAAAACAGACTAGAACAAAAGTGAACAGAGCCTCAAAGACTTGTGGGAGGACGAGAAAAGATCTGACATCCATGTCACAGAACGATAGCAGATTTCTCATCAGAACCACAGAGCCCAGAAGACAGTGGCCCAGCAATTTTTAGGTGCTGAAAAAAAAGAACTATCAACGCAGAGTCCAATATCTAGTGAAAATATCCTTCAGGAAGGAGGGGGAGCTCTAGACATCCTCACGTGAAAGAAAACTAACAGAACATGTTTCCACAGACTTACCCTAAAAGAACGGCTGAGGAAGGTTTTTGAAACAGAAAGGAAAGGATAAAGAAGAAATCTTGGAACATCATGAAAGAAAAAAGAACAACAGAAAGAATAAAAATATGGATACATACAATAGAATTGCCTTCTCCTCTTGAGTTTTCTAAATTATGTTTGATGGTTGAAGCAAACGTTATAGCACTGACGAAGTTCTCAATGTCTACAGAATGGTTATGACAATTATATTGTACATGCTGGAGGGTAAATGGAGGGAAAGGGTAGTAAGGTTTCTACATTTGATTTAATCTGGTAAAACGTCGAAACCAGGAGAGTTGGAAATATGATGTTATGTATGTATAATGTAATACCTAGAGCAGCCACTAAGTGTCTATGCAGAGATACACTCAGAAAAAGCCCCAATATCAGTAAGTCAAAATGGAATTCCAAAAAATGTTTAAGTAACTCACAGGAAGACAGAGATTGATACAGGCAACAGCTTGGATGAATTTTAAGGGCATTATGCTCATGTAAAGAGCCAATGTTAAGTGACATACTGTACAATTCTATTTATATAACATTCTCAAAATGACAAAATTGTAGAGATGGAGAACAGATTACTCATCACCAGGGGTTAGGGATGGTGGGCGACGGGGGGATGGTGCGACTATAAAAGGGCAGCACAAAGGAGGTCTTTGTGGTGACAGGAATGTTCTGTATCTCGATTGCGTGGTTACATGGAACTACATATGATAAAACGTCACAGAACTATGTGCACACATCGTACTAACGTCCTTTTTGTTTTCTACTCTTTCCCCACGTGGTTTACCTCATCATGACCACCTCCACCCACTTTCATCATTATCTTGATACTGATGTCTCTCTTCCCAACTTGAGCTTCCACACTGCCGAAGGCCTGTGTGATAGTTCTAACTGGATGTCTTCTTGCTTCTCTACTCTCAACATATCTTAAATTTGGCTCCTCACCTCCTCCCGTCCCCACTCTCTATGTTTTGCCATCCTTCTGCCCGCCACCCACAGGCAAACATCAGTCATCCTTACTCTCCCCTCTCCCTGGCCTCCCATCACCAAGCACTTGATTCGTCTTAGAGGAGTCTCTCTCAAACTCACTTCTATTCTCATTGTCACCATCACATTCTGGACCCCATGAACTCTTGCTTGAAACTTGATGAGAACTTCCCAATCGACCACTAGGCCTCCAACCTCTCGCCAATCCCATCTAGCCTGTGGAGCAAATATTAGAATATCCTTTGATGCAGTAAGTTGAAATTGTCTGTACACAGGAGAAGTAGAAGAGGAAATCTAGAGATCTGGATAGAATTCAAGTAAGATATTGCTCCAAAAGCAGTTTAACACATTTACTTAATTTAAAATTTCTCTTAGCACGGTCATAGAAATTATAGGCAACGTTGTGTCTTTCTCTCTCTGTAAAAGGGCAAAATACTTACCTTAACTCTACGAGCAATGCTAAGGAACTGACAAGTCTTATCATAAAGCTCTTCCAGGTTTTCTCTGTCCCAGTAGAAATCAGGCGTGATCAAGAAGTCTGAACTCAAGTTTATACGGTGTCTTAAATAAAAGAAAATTAGAGCTTCTTATTTTTCATCTTGAATTAAAAATCATGGTCTCTATTTTATTTCTTATCTATATGGTGCTTTATGAAAATATTTTTGAATGCTGATTTTTGTAATACTTCTAAGAAACATACAAATAAAAAAATCTATAAAAGAGTTTCGAAATTTGCAACCAAATTAATTCAATCTTTATATTAATATTTATGAAGTAGATAGAAAAAAACTCATTTTGTTTTCCATTTCTAAGCTTGTTTCTGTTTTCATTAAAGTTTTTTACAATATACATGCACATATATTTTATAGATAGGTAATCACATGGCTCAAAAATAAAAAAGATGAAAAAAGGTAAAAATTGATCACTCTTACTCCTAGTGTTATCCCCATATTTCCCTCTCTCCCACCCCCGATAGGTCACCACTGTTAATTTCCTCTGTAGCCTCCTAGTATTTGTGCAAACACTGGACAAACAACTACACACACACACACACACACACACACACACACACATTCTCTCTCTCTCTCACTTAATTTCTACCTTTTTTACATAAGAGGCCTGAGCTTCCTTTTTTTTTCTGCTGAGGAAGATTTGCCCTGAGCTAACATCTGTGCCAATCTTCCTCATCTTTTTGCTTGAGGCAGATTAGCCTTGAGTTAACATCTGTGCCTATCTTGCTCTATTTTGTATGTGGGACGCTGCCACAGCATGGCTGATGAGTGGTATAGGTCTACACCCAGGATCCAAACCTGTGAACCTGGGCTGCCGAAGCGGAGCACACCAAACTCAACCACTATGCCATGGCACTAGCCCTTTCTGAGCTTACTTTTAAATGAAAATTTAAGTTATAAAAGTAACACATAAGTAGCTGTTCATTATATATAAAAAAGAAAAATCCTCAGGAAGAATTCAGAAAACAGTGGTAGGCCCTCTTATCCTAACACACAGCTCAAATCCTTCAGGCCCTGCAGACACTTTGCTGTGTCCTTCTAGGTCTTTTTCTGTCCATATGTGTGCGTGCACTCACACGCATGTATGCACGTGTACATGTATTTGTAGTATGTACACATATGAAGATAAATATGAATATTTATTGTTTATTTACACAAATGAGATCATACCATATGTAATTTGTGACAATTTTTCACCTAATATAACCTGCCATATTTCTATTTCAATTTCTATTCATAGGTTTACCACATTCCTTTTAATAACATATAAGCACTTTTATTTCACAGAGAAAACAGGATAAGAACAGTAAGACTCTATAGAAACTATTCACAAACGTTTTTCACAAAACTGTTCACAAACTATTCACAAACGAAATAAGTATGTTTAGTCCTAACTTCTGAGTTTTGACATTATAATTCACTGTATCAAACTTGCGTTACCACGAGAAGAGGAAAGAAGAATCTGTCTACCCCACTTCTTAGAGCACTCAAGACCTTAGATGTGCTGGGGGATGCTCGTCATGAATGGGTTTTTTATTTTTGTTGGTACCCTGAGTTAGGGTCCCTGAGCCATGAGAAAGGCATGGATGATGAAACACTGGACCACTTCTCTCCAGGCCAAGTCCCTAAGGAGGATGTGGAAAAACAGCTCTCAGGTAAACTATTTACGATGGATTCAAGTAACGCATCCCATTCACCACAAGGAATGAAACACTGAATGGTGATGCCCACTGAAAATAACGCCGAGATTCAGGATGCGCCATTCCATAAATCCTGGGAAAATCACAGGAATAAAATGAACTGAAAACCTTTTCAGATGCTTATTCAAAATGATGCATTATTGTACTTCATCACTGAAGTCACAGTTCCCCCCATTCGAACAACTCTGAAGACGGGAGGCATCTTGAAAATTGATGCTGTCTCACAGGTGGCAGTCGTGACTTAGCTGTCACTGCCTTAAACCACTGATTTCCCTTATGCTTTCCTTTCCACGTCTGCCCAAGAGGGAATGTGAGAGAAATGACATCCAAGTAAGACTAAGAGAGCTATTTCAGTAAGTGCAAAATTAAAATTCTGTGATAAAAAAGCACTGTATCAGAGTGTAGTTGGCAGCATTTTTACTCTCCCGTGGCATCTTACGGTGTCTCAGAGTCAATGAAATATGGTACATAACTTTCCGGCAGCAATTAGGTCTATTGAACGTTATAAAGCAGTGATATATTTTTACTGAGAATTCCCATTATCCAAATTCTAGAATATACCTTTCTACCTTCAAAGAACACCTACTACGCTCCCTGAAGTAGGTTTACTGTAGGTTAATTACGATCTCGTTTGCCCATGCAGAATTTCTTCCAGTACATTCCTTCATAGTCCAGTTGCTTCTAATAGATGAGTTCTCCATGCTTATAGTGAATGAAATGAAAATAGTTGCAATTCCCAGAAAGGTACAAACGTTTGCTCTTTAGTACAGAATTATAAGAATGTTTTCTTGGGTTTGTTAAATATATGAAATATTTTATTTACAGAGGAAATTTTACCTGAGGGCAAAGAGTTCACCCATTTTCTGCATAACTTCTTCATGAGAGAGTTTCACTTTCTTCCCAGCTTTTAAAGCCTATTTGGGAGGGAAAAACGATGCATACGTACATACACACATACGCACATATATCCAATAAGTAACAGGACCATGATGCAAATCCTGAAGCAGCATAATTTTGATCCTATGTAACGTCTATCTCTGGAATGAGCATCTCCCAGTCACCTCACTCTGAGACTTCAAAATCTTATTAGGTACAAATTTCATATTCCCTTTTTCCATCTCCCTTCCCACTAGCATTTTCTATTTCTATTATTTAGCATTTCCCACTAGCATCCCTAATCTTTTATTGAAAAAGCAGGGCCTGAATATATCAGATTATTCTTTTACAGTAAAAACAAAATCAACTACAGTAAACATGATTTTTAATGCCCGTGAAATTTTGATATAACATTATATGCATTTTTCAAGCCAGAATTTTTCTCATAATTTATCAAAAGACTGCTTAATCAAGAAAAGTGGTCATAATCTCCTTCCTCAAGAAACAGTTCACTTTTTTCTTTAATTCAGTTACATTAAAAATACTGCACCGGGGGGCCCCGGCCCCGTGGCGGAGTGGTTAAGTTCGCGTGCTCCGCTGCAGGCGGCCCAGTGTTTCGTTGGTTCGAATCCCGGGCTCGGACATGGCACTGCTCATCAAGCCACCCTGAGGCGGCGTCCCACATGCCACAACTAGAAGGACCCACAACTAAGAATATACAACTATGTACCGGGGGGCTTTGGGGAGAAAAAGGAAAAAATAAAATCTTAAAAAAAAACATACTGCACGGGGCTGGCCTGGTGGTGCAGAGGTTTGGTTCGCACGTTCCGCTTCAGGGGCCTGGGGTTCGCCGGTTTGGATCCCGGGTGCGGACATGGCACCGCTTGGCAAAAGCCAAGCTGTGGCAGGCATCCCACATATAAAGTAGAGGAAGACGGGCATGGATGTTAGCTCAGGGCCAGTCTTCCTCAGAAAAAAGAGAAGGACTGGCAGCAGTTAGCTCAGGGCTAATCTTCCTCAAAAAAAAAAAAAAAAACAAACCGCACTATCAGCACTGTTGCTCTCCACCACTGGTGCTGCCTCCAGCTCACGGAGCTCCAGCCGAAGGAGAAGTGGGGTAAGTGAGGAGGTCCCTATACCACGGCTCGTACAAAGATGACTGCCAGCTTTGTACCGGTGGTAAAGCACCGAGGAAGCAACTGGTTACAGAAGCCGCTCGCAGGAGTGCGCCCTCTACTGGAGGGGTGACGAAGCCTCATCGTCACAGGCCTGGTACTGTGGCACTCCGTGAAACGAGACGTCAAGCCCGCTGAACTCCTGATTCGCAAACTTCCCTTCCAGCGTCTGGTGCGGGAAATTGCTCAGGACTTCAAAACAGATCTGTGCTTTCAGAGCGCAGCTACTGGTGGTTTGCAGGAGCCGAGTGAGGCCTACCTGGTTGGCCTTTTCAAAGACACCAACCTGTGTGCTATTTGTGTCAAACGTGTAATGATTATGCCAAAAGACATCCAGCTAGCACGCGCATACGTGGAGAACGTGCTTAAGAACCCACTACGATGGGAAACATTTCATTCTTTAAAAAAAAATTCTCTCCTTCCTGTTATTCGTAGTTCTGAATGTTAAATATTTTTTTTCCATGGGGTCAAAAAGTACCTAAGTATATGACTGCAAGTGGAAAAATAGGGGGCAGAAACCAGGTATTGGCTGTTTTTCCATTTTCATTTGTGTGTGAATTTTTAATATAAATACGGGGACATGAAGCATCAATGGCAAGTCAAAATGTTTCAGAGAACAACTTTCAGCAGTTCAACTTTCTATCAATTATAAACAGACCTGTTAAATTTTTCTGCACAATGTGCACATTTGGATTTTTTTTTAAAACAAGCAAATTTCTTATTGACGGCAACTCAATGGTGTTTGTAGCATTTCTGTCATACAGTAGATTCCATCCATTCACTATACTTTTCTGAGTTGTCCTACGTGCATGTTTTTAATGTTGTCTGTCTTTTGTGCTCTTCCTGTATGTTTGCTATTAAAAGACATTAAACTAAAAAAAATTAAAAACCCTAAAAACACTCTAAAAAATACTGCACCATCAGAGGAACGTAATTTGAATTTTAAGTTTTAAAAAGTAAAAAAAAAATCAATATGAAGTTTCTTATTTCAACATTTTATATGTAATTGGGGTTTCTTTTTTTGCTTAAATTCAGTGTAGCTTTCCTAGTGTTTATTAACACTTTATTGTACTCCTAACTATACTGTTATAGTGGGAAATTTGTGTTTTTCCCAAATAGAAATCTATACTTGAAAATAAGCATAAAATTGGTATAATTACCTCTGGAATCGACTGAATAGATTCCACAAATTTATCCAGTGATGCTTCCCAAATAGCCAGTTTCACTGGGGGAAAAAATGAACAATGGAACATTTCTTTATCATCATCTTCATGTTTATAAAAATGCATAATTACGCAGTACCTTCACCACCATTTCAACAATAGTTTAAGAAACAAATGTGCCAAAAATTTGAAAGTGAAATTTAAGAAGAGTTATTTAGTATTATAAAGGCCAGCATGAAGTGGAAAAAGACAGAAGAAACCGAGGACACTTTCACGCCCTGCTCCAGACCAAAGCGACATTTGGTAGAACTCGATTTTCTAATATTGCACCTCAGAAACCCAAGTCTCAGGCTCACCCCGGAAGCAGGGCGGCTCTGCAGACGGGGCGGACTTAGGCTTTCCCGGCCTCCCCTTCCACCCCCAGGGCTGTGAGCTGGGCTCGGAAGGCCCTGAAGCCTCCTAGAGCAGTACGGACAAGCCACGCAGCAGCCTAGTGTAGACCAGGGGTGAAAACTTTTCTTAGACAACTTCTACAGTTTTACTCAGGTGCACGAATCTTTCGGAAAAAACTTAGAGCTGCTGTAACTCTCTGGCCCATTCCCGTGAAAAACTTGAGAGTGTTTTTCTACACGGAGGCCTGGGCCCAGCCACGGGGTTGGGCTTTCTCTGCCTGGATTAGAGACAACCTGAGACTGGCAATCACGCAGAGAGAAGGGAGAGAAATCAAAGGTGGTAATAATAAGGATATAAAAAATATTTTTGGAGAGGGTCAACTTTATCAATACAATTAATAAAGAATGAGTAAGGCAGCACAGATACTATATTTTATACTTTATACTATGAATATTTTTCTTTTGGAGGAAAAAAAAAAAGGAAAGGAATGCTAAGGCTTTGCTCCGTATTCTGTGAAAACACGCCAAAATCTTTACCAAATACTTGAACTTCCCTCAATGAAAAGAAAACGAGGCAGTACTTTGTCTGCTAAGTAGCAGTAACTCACCTGAAAGGCAGAGAGCGTTTGAGAAAGCAAATTTCTCTAGAATGGCGTCGTCTAAGTCTAGCTCTGAATTTAGCCTGATCTCCCCTCGGTGGAGTTTGGACTGCCCCCTGTGAAAAGGAAAAAAAAATGATCTTCTAAATCTTCAAGAGCACTTTAATTTTTCCTTTCGAAAAAGTCACCTTACAATCTTTTCTAGAGGTCATTTTGGCAATTTGAATCAAGTGTCTTATAGAAGTTCTTATACTCTTGATCCAGGTAATTCCACTTCTAGGAGCTGATCCTAAGGAAATCATCAAAGATGCAAAGACTGGTGTACAAAAAAATTTTATGGTCAAATGTTTAATAGTAAAAAATGAGGAAAGAAACTAAATGTTCAATAAGAGAAAAGTTCATTTATGGGAATTTCTCACAACAAAAATTAAGCAGCATGTTTTGAAAGGATATTTAATAGAAAGGGAAAATGATCACAATAAATTGCTAAGTGAAAAATTGCTGACTAACAACTATATACACAGTGTAATCTAAAATCACACCGACGTGGTAGGGATGCGGTGGGAGACGGGGGAGCTGTGGAAAGGGAGGGGATTCGAGAAGGCAAATGTCACAAGCAAAGAGGAAAAGTACAGGGTAAACCTTCACAAAAGACGTGAGATGACAAGAGATGGACAGGAGGCCGAACGAGAGGGTGGAGAGGCAGAATCGGCTGACACCCTCGGGTGGAGGGAGAAAGAGACGATGGGAAGGAGCAGAGTGGACAAGATGCTTTACGAAGGAGCTCGGGCCTGCACAGAACTGAGGGGGGCAGCAGAGGCCCTGAACCACGGGCAGGACTCAGGTAACCACACGCTGGTAGCGGCCATGCGGGTCTTTGGACGAAAATAAATCACTGATGCTGGGATCCAAGGAGCCGAGGACTTTACTCCTCCACAGACTGCAATGTGTGAGTGTGTGAGAGTGTGTGAGTGTGTGTGAGTGTGAGTGTGTGTGTGTGTGTCTGTGGTGGGCCGGGGAGAGTGCCTAGTAAGGAACAGTTTGATCTGGAGGCAGAGCACAGCAGGGAAATCCATGGAACCTTAACCAAAGGCTGAGTGCTTCATAAGAAAATTAGTAACTTCCGTTAGCTGTTTGTTGTGTCGCTCAGGTTCACATTCTCACTTTTGAGGGCAAGCGCGATGGGCCCGGGCCCTCACTGACTAGCCAGGAGCCGCTGGGCAAGACACAGCCTCTCCGCACCTCACCTGAGAGCCAGCTCATGGCATTACAGGGTTTCGTCGGGACTGAACGGGACGATGCACGGAAAGCACTAAGAAGGGCGCCTGGCACGGTGTGTGCAGGTAACCCTTGCTGGCCACTGTCGCTTAGCTCTTCTCCCATCTGGTCTTTCCACAGCTGGAGTCTCTTCCAAGTTTCCCTAAAGCCCTGCTTCATCGCTTCCTTTCTTACGACAAAGACTTTCTCTTTTTATCGTATCCCACTAGACGGGTAACTCCAGGAGGAAAGGTCGCACGGCCTTCTCTCTCCGCCCTAACATCCTTCTTCACTTTCTCCCTCTGCTGACACAGGAAAATCAGCTGGTATGTTGCTTACCTATTTCTTACCTGAGAACAGTATGTCAGGCCCCCACTTTTTGCAGGCACCCCCATTTCTACAAGGGGTTCTCTTAGATCAGACCCTCACTACACATCCCATTTATACCCAAAATCAGTAGGGAAAAAATGGATTTATTTCAGAGAAAACATTACTAGAATGATTTGATAGGTTCATTCTGATGAAGGCATACAATTTTACTGATTCAGGCTGCTGAGGAAATTTACCATTTTGGGGTTATACTATCTACTTGTTTTAATTTATGGGTAGCCTAAGAAGTTAAAAAAATAATGTTCATCTACTAATATTTATTATATTGTTCAGGCTTTGTATTTGTACCAATAACTTTTTTCTTAAAATTAGTCTCCACAATCATAAATCATTTACCTCTTCTACTGCTTTACCCAGTTATTCCAGCCGCCCTTTTTGTAAATTTGATAAAAAGTGGCTTACTCTGTTTTTATGTAGTTAAGCTCTTCGTTCTCCCAGTGTACCAGGGCGATTTCATATGGCTGAATTTCATGTTTTTCTAGAACTTGCATCACATGCTTCATCTGGAATAAAAGGAAGACTAATCGGAAATTCTACCTGACTCCCTCAGTAAAGAAGGATGTTACAACAGTGTTACTGCTTATAATACGTCACTACATTTCACGATATCTCTTCTGTTGTTTAGTTTTTAAGGAAAAGGCAAATTCATTGTGATATTAAACTCATCAGGATGACATATTCGTTTTTACATTTGGAAAACGCAGATGAGAATAAAGAAGAAAATAAAAATTATCATTATCCCACAAACCAAAAAACCATTAGTAACATTGTGGCTTGTATCCTTCACATCTTTTTAAAAACTGTCTAAGCAACATACTTGTAAAAGTTTAAGCAACACGGAGGTAAAGTGACCTTCTCTCTCTGCTCTCCTCAATTCCTTATCCCCAAAGGGAACCATTCAACACGGCGCATAGCCTTCCAGACTTTTTAACATGTGCATATACATTTATTTTCTTTTTTACATGAAATGGGAGCATACTGTGCATATGGACATTTTCAGTGCTGTTCTCCTCAATGGAGCAGCCGCGGTTTGTTTAACCATCCCAAATGCCACCCACGGGCGATCGCTTCTACTCGCCACTGCTACAAAGTCGCAATGCGCCAGCCTAGGTGTGCGTCTGTGTAGGCTTGTGGGAATATTTCTTTAGGAATTGCTAGAGCAAAAGACACACACACTTATAACTTCGATAAATAGTGCTAAACCACCCTTCAAAACAGTTTTTCCAGCTTTGGAACCCAAACATCTGTGAGAGCATGCTTAAAAACACTGGGTATCATCAGCCTTCTACATGTTCACCATCTCAAACTGACAATTTGTGTTACATTTTTCTTATACTTATTGGTCATTTATATTTCCTTTTCCTCAGGAACCCCCCCACCCCTCCATGTGTGTGTGGGGGTGTGTGTGTGTGTGTGTGTGTGTGGCAGGTATTTCCTTTTAGTAAAACTGGGATTGTAGGAGGCATATTTTTTAACCAGCTCCAGGATTACATTGGTTATATTTTGTACCCTGTTCTTTAAGTTAACTGTATCATACACACAAGCAATTTCCCAGGAATAGGTCTTTTTCCATGATTGTTAAGAGCCATAGTATACTCTAGCTTATGCATGTATTTACCAAACTTCCTACTATTAGGCATTCTGGTTATTTCTCACTTTTGCTGTTGTAAATAATGCGTTGATGACCATTTCTGTAGGTCGTTCATTGTGCAGAACTGCGATTCTATCCTTTGGATGACTTTCTAGATGTGAAATTGCTGAGTTAAATACAAAGGTTTCATGTGTATTACCAAACTGCTTCTAAAAAGGTTGTTTGAAACAAATCCTGACTGGGACACTGAAAAAATTACTCCCTGTGAGTGATAAAGTTCTGCAAAACTGGATCAAAACTAAGACTCTGTGCAACCGGCTTCCAGTGAACTGGGTGTACATTATTCACTTTGTAGATTATCACGTACGAAATATAATCCCTTCTGTCTGCAGTGTAGCTAGAATTGTCCTGATTCTCCGCAAATCAGCGTGTGCCCAGAGAATGGAAAAATGTAGGAAACTTACAAGCCAAAATACAATACATTTTAGAAGGTGAAACTGCTAGGATAAATATCACACGATGCAGAGCAAATAAGTTAAGGATTATCTGTTAATTTATCTTCCAATGGCTCAGATTATTGAGAGCTAATTAACAATTTATTCTCAGAAAACTAAATTTTTATACTTTCATACTTTATTAATACTTACAGTTTTGTCTTTCACGTTCCAAAACACAGCAGCTCCTTCTCTGATTTGAAAGAATAAAAGAATCAACTAAGTTAAAGGTAAAATACATTCTTGAGGACCATACATAAAGCCATGCTTAGGTAACTTCTAGAACATATCCAGAATGCAATTAAAAAATAGATACTTTATTATTGATTTGACATTACGGTTCCTAGATAGATTTGGTAAAACAAAAGCTACTTTTTGAACTCTTCATAAAACCTGACCTCTCAAAAATGCATGATTTCGCACAAGGTTTGCAGAATAAATAACTATTCTTGTTCAGTCATGCGCTGTATAACAACATTTTGGTCAATGATGGACCACATACACGATGGTGGCCCCACAAAATGAGGACCCTAGAGCCGGGTGTGTAGTAGCTCTACCATCTAGGTCTGTGGACGTCCACTCTGTGATGTTCGCACGAGGAAATCACCTCACAGCACATCTCTCAGAACGTATCCGTGTCGTTAAGCGACGCCTGAATCTAATACCATCTAACTTCATGTATCCAGACTGTTTCATACTTGGTTCAGTTCTGATGTACAGAAATCAGAATAAGGAAATTTTTGAGACCTGTCTTAGCTCTCATTAGGCAGATTCTGCTAAAGGAAAAGAACAAAGGCTCATGCTTTTAATAGCTGTGGAACCGAGACTGAGACAGACGAAAGCCTCAGACGGTGGAAGGCCCCTGGGAATAACACCCCATCCCCACAACGCTCAGAGCAGAATTACAATGAAGCCCAGCAGACCCTCGAATCCAACTCTGGCTTCGCTAGAAGTTAAGGTCTAAAAACTATAAATGAACTTGTTTTGATTTCTGCAGTCTGACGTATTGAGCTGTTTTAGGGAGTAAATAAAAAAAGGAGTTATGGCTCTGGTTATTGCACCAGAGGAAGGAAAGGTGGAAAGGAGAGAAAGGTAGAAATGTGATGGCCCGTATCATTCTGCAAACACTTCTTAAGCAAAGTGCTTAGTATGTGTGTGGGTCTGTGCTTAGCGTCTGGATGCAAAGATGAGTATGGTCTAGATCCCGTCCTCGAGGAACTCTCAATCTAGAAAAGACTGATAGACAGACACCAATTACCACAGAGCGTTACCAGCGCTGTAACAGTGTTATGAAGAAGACACTCGATGTACATCAGAGGGACACAGTTCCTAAAGGAGGAGCAGAGCCACCCAAATGAAAAAACGAGAGGAGGCGACAGCAGAGGGAAGACCCTGGGCTCAGGGAGAAGCCTGAGGGAGCAGGGAAACATCTCAGAATACACAGCTACTTGTCTGAATGGCTGTGGATGTTGGCAAGTAGTGGCCAGTCAGTTAGAGAGGTAGGAGGGAGCCGACCCCTGAAGGAACTCTGTGTTGTGACAAGGAGTTTGGTCAAATTCCACAGAATTTTATAAAAGAGAGTGTAGTGATCAGAACCACCTATTGAAAAATTATCCTGCCTACAACAGATGAACAGACTGGTGGTGGCGTTGGGGGACAGACAGGCAGCCCAGGCAGTAAGCTGTAGCGCTAGGCCAGCATAAGTCTCAGGATACGGATTTGAGAGGTATTTAAAGCCACAGCCAGAGTTTTAGTTCAGAGAATCACTTACGGGCAGAGGACAGGTCTTGGGCACCGTGCTCCGTCTAGAGCTGTGCTGTGCTATTAATATGGCGCTCAGAAGCCACGTGTGGCCACTGAGCATCTGAAATACGCCTGGCCCAAAGTGAGAGGCGATGCAAGCGTAAAACACACACCCAGGTTTCAAAGACTTAGTGTGAAAAGAAAAATGTAAAATCTCATTAATTACTGATTAAGTATTTAATTCAATTACTAATATTTAATTAATATATAATGGGTTAAATAAAATACACTTAAAATATATATAAAATATACTATTAAGATTAATTTCAGGCAATAGATCATATTATTAGTGTGTTCAAAATTAAATTCATCTTTTTAACTTTTAAAAATGTGGCTATTAGAAAACGTATCATTACATATGAGGTTTGCTGTATTTGTACTGGATACAGAGCTGACCTAGAGGGCCTCAGAAATCCAAATTGCTCACCTGGGTCAAACGGGACGCTATTCTACTTGGACAAAACGTTGAACTCTTGATTATCTCCAAAGTAACACCAACATGAAGGTGAGGCATCGACAGGAACAAAGCCAGGGCTTCCAATTATCATCAACCACTATGACTAAGTCCACAAAATCTTTCTTCAAGTTTGGATTCTGACGGACGTTCCATGTGCTTCTGTTGTGCCACTTATCAGTCCCACGACTGTGGGTAACTCACTTAATCTCTCTGACCCTCAGTTTCCACAGCCGCAAAATGGGAATAACAGATCTTCTTCAAGTGTTATGAGGATACCAGGAGATTATTATTATTATTATTTTTTGCTTGAGGAAGATTAACCCTGAGCTAACATTCCATGGAATCTTCCTCTATTTTACATGTGGGATGCCTCCACAGCAGGGCTGATGAGTGGAGTGGGTCCGCACCCGGGATCCGATCCTGAGAACCAGGCCGCCAAAGCGAAGTGCGCAGAACTTTAACTACTGGGCCATGGGGCTGGCAGCCTATATGAGATTATTTTAAATGGTTTCTATTATCATTAGCATTCCCACTCAGCTACTCTGGAGTATTTGCTATTAAAAAAACCTTTAAATAAAAGGAATAACTTTCTGTGAGTCAGGTTCCCAGGTCTGAAGTCTCTGGAAATGTAAAATGGACTAAAACTTTCGCTAAAGAGCTCCAGAAGGAGAACAAAGAAAAGACAGCACAGGTAGCATGAGTCTGCTATGTGGCACTGAAGACGAAAGGAAATAGAAGGCTTCACGTATTTTTAGTGACTGAAAATCCAGATTTACTAATAAAGACAAGCCAGGGGAAGAATATTTACTGCTTTTAGAAATTCTTTATTTTCTAAGAGGATTTAGTAAAGATTCCTAAAACTGACCAACTCTCCTAGATCAAATAAGAATCAATGATAAAGTGATTTAAACCACAAACACGTGATGAACTCACTGACTGTCAAGAGCCCCTTTAAAGAGCACCATCACCTGAGCACAAGGCCATCTCCCAGTGGAGTTGCTTTCTTCTCTTACCTGAAGAAGAATATGGTTCCAGGATCACCTTCTTTGGCAGAATTTTCCACACCCATCACCAAAATATTTGCTGCATCTGTGATTTAAAATAAATGAGCAAAAAGCTATGTCCCAAGGTAACACAAGGTTTAAGAGTGACCTACAAAACTTTAATGAAGTCCTTATGGTCATTTCTTCCTATGCCATCAAGTGCTCTGTAAGGCGTCCATCTTTTACTATAGTTTCTGAAAGTAGTTAACATACAAAATGAAAAGACCACAAGAAATTACTTTCACAAAATATGGAACAACCTGTGATACTATTATTAGTGTTATTTTAAACTACTCACTCGTACCCATTTTGATTCAGTAATAACTAGTCCAGTTAATAATTACCAAAGTCTTAGTTCTAATACAACTAAGGTTTAAGAATTAAACTTCTTTCTACAAAATTAATTTCCAATAAAATTTGAAGAACCATTAATATATTCTCTTCCTTTAAATACTATTTTATTAATAACATAATTTGAATATTCTCAAACTACTCATTCTGCTGAATTTGAAATTGTGGGAGAATAGAACATACACAGAAACAAAGATACTGACCATTTGAAAACATATCTGATTTCAAAGTTAATCATGAGAACTACCACGGGAGTCATCTGCAACTATTTAAATATTTTAACCTTTTAAATAGCATTAAATACATAAATACACAAATATTCATCAATAAGTAGTTGCTGGGGCTGGCCCCGTGGCCCAGTGGTTAAGTTCGTGCGCTCCGCTGCAGGCGACCCAGTGTCTCGTCAGTTCGAATCCTGGGCACGGACATGGCACTGCTCATCAAGCCACGCTGAGGTGGCGTCCCACATGCCACAACTAGAAGGACCCACAACTAAGAATGTACAAGTATATACCAGGGGGCTTTGGGGAGAAAAAGGAAAAAAAGGAAACCTTTAAAAAAAAAAATAAGTAGTTTCTTTATGTATTAGTTTAATATTTATCATAAGTATATATTGTATAACATAAATTATAAATATGTTAATATATCAATGAATAAAAACACTAATATTTACATGTAAAAAGTTATATATAATTTCTTAACCCAAAATTAGGATCCTCAAAGCTTCAGAGTTCCTGGTAGGAGGTTCAGAAATGGGGGATTCAGGTAGGCACCAAATCCTAAACTACCTTTTCTGAGTAAACTCTAACTTCCCTAAGTCCTACAGCCCACGGAGGGCAAAGTTCACCTATGCAGCCGAGAGCAACACGAATGAAATGGACAAGACCCAGGGCAGTGAGAATGGAACGAGCAGGCTTCATGCCCGTAATGCACCTGTAATGTAATCGCCCTGCTGACAGCCTTTGGAATCAGCCAAGGACACCCTGGGCACTGTTTTATCTTAGCACCCTGGACATAGCTCTGTTTTCATAAGTCAATTATGTCTGGTTTTGCCATCAAATAGCACAAATTGTTCAGATAACCAAGGCTGAGAAAGCACAATGACATTTCCACTGTTTCTTCCGGGGTCAATGACTCTAGAATTTTCTATCTAGCAGAGAGGTTTTTAACTTGCTATTTTTGCTCCTCCGCAGTAAATTTGTGAATTTCCATCAAAAGGTTCCAAGTTACTTATTTTTTAATGTAAAGCAGGGTATTTTCTCAAGGATCCTTTCTGATACTATCCTACCATCTTTATTTTATTTTATTTTTAGGAAGATTAGCCCTGAGCTAACTGCTGCCAATCCTCCTCTTTTCGCTAAGGAAAACTGGCCCTGAGCTAACATCCATGCCCATCTTCCTCTACTTTATATGTGGGATGCCTACCACAGCATGGCGTGCCAAGCAGTGCCACGTCCGCACCCGGGGTCCGAACCGGCAAACCTTGGGCCACACCTCGGGCCACCGAAGCGGAACGTGTGCACGTAACCACTGCGTCACCAGGCCGGCCCCCCATCTTAAGTTTATTTTGATTCTCATTTTTAATATTCATTGTGTTTATCTTTCAACTAATTTTGTTAGTTTCAAAGTACTGGATTGTACTGTTAAATTGTTCTTTAAAGAAATGTCTTCCCAACATTTCTATCAATTTCATAGTTCTTCGGTAATACCAAAATAAGTTTTTTTTTTTTGGAGGAAGATTAGCCCTGAGCTAACATCTGTGCCCATCTTCCTCTATTTCACATGTGGGACACTTGCCACGGCATGACTTGAGAAGCGGCGTGTAGGTCTGTGCCCAGGATCCAAACCCGCAAACCACAGACCCCTGAAGCAGAGCGTGCAAACTTAACTACTACACCATTGGGCTGGCCCCTAAAATAACTTTTTAATGTGAGAGAAATGAAGTATCATGGTCTTTCATCATCCCAAGTAACAGTGATCCTATAAATAAAGCTCAATAAATTATATTGCTTTTAATCTGGAACTAAGTTAAAAAAAACAAAATGTTTTTTTTTATCTTTGTATGTCATTTGTACAGAGATTCTACACCACTTTTATGCTACAATCCTTGTTTCAACAGAAAATGAAACATAAACAAATGCATATTTAAGACAGTATCGTAGGAAAATTATTTTCTAACACATTTTCACATACTTAGCCCCAGGCTCAAGAAGATGTACCTCTAGGCAAGCTTGTCACTTCAACATATCCATGGGAGGCCAGGTCTTGAGAGAGATTTCCAAGATGATACTCATCCGCTGTTGCAAATGCTGTGCAGTGCATCAGGTCCTGTTCCAGCGAGAGGAGCGTGACATGGGTTACCAAGAGGCTGAAGCATCTGTGAGGGCTGTCAGCTTGCAAAACTCCACTTTGCAAAGCCAGCACTCGAAAGTTTCCTTCAAACGACTCAAAGGTTCACACAAGGGACATGATAAGCATGTAGAGAAAGAAGTTATACGTATAGGAAGACAGATTTCAGCTCAATCCATGAAAGAACTTTCTCCTGCTAGCCAAAAAAGTGGGACGGGCTATCCTGAAAGGGGAGCCACTCCCCAGCTCTCTCAAGCACAGAATGATCAAAATAGCGAGTCATATGGGCACCTGGATAGTTAGTCCCTCCAACTTTGAGTCCCCGTGGCTCTTTTTCACAGCAACATTGTATTTGATGTCATTTGATCATTTGTTGCTAGCCTTGTACTGGCAGAGGTTTCCTTAAATCTACAAAGGAATTACACATTTTTGACTCTGGTTAACTATCTTTTTTGCAAAGATTGGCACCTGAGCTAACATCTGTTGCCAATCTTCTTTCTTCCTTTTTTCTTCTTCTCACCAAAGCCCCTCAGTCTATAGTTGTATATATTCCAGTTGTGAGTCCTTCTGGTTGCGCTACGTGGGACGCCACCTCAGCATGGCTTGATGAGTAGCACTAGGTCCATGGTCGGGATCTGAACCAGCGAAACCCGGGCCACAGAAGCAGAGCATGAACTTAACCACTCGGCCACAGGGCTGGCCAACTCTGGTTAATATTAAACAAAAAGTTCTGTAAATTTGAGCATGTGTCCAAGTGTGGTTAGTGCCTTGGCTCCTGCACCATGAGGCTCATCTGTGTCTACACGTATACACTTGTGTTGTGTGTGTCTGGACAGTATACATACGGTAAGCAATATGGCATAGTGCAATGTTTTTGTCAAAATGTACGTCACAAGCCATTAGTGAGTCCTGGTATCAATTCAGTTGGCCCAAATCAGCTTCCTAAAAAAAATTAAATAGAATAAAACAGAAAATATTACAGCGCATTATTTACAGTAAGGGTAAATTTTATTTTATGAAGTTTTGTATCACTTATATATGCCTATGCACGTATACTGAGTTGCTATGGGATGTGGTCAATAAAGTTTGAAAACTATTGGCATAGGCATTAAGAGTTCAGGCACAGAATCTGAATAACTTAAAAAAAATCAGAATAACAATAATGCCTACTTTATATGGCTGTTGTGAAGTTTAAAGACGTTGATGAATGTCAACTACTTGGAACCAGGACTGGCACACAAGTTCAACATTTGTTATAGTTATTATTATTGCACATACAGATATGTTTAACCCATCAAAACTTCTGAGAGGTTACATATGAGGAATTTAAAACTATGGACCAAGAACAGTTTAGTGGATACCAGGGGAAAGGTGGGGTGGGGGGTGGGCACAAAGGGTGAAGTGGTGCACCTACAACATGACTGACAAACATTAATGTACAATTGAAATTTCACAAGATTGTAACCTATCAATAACTCAATAAAAAAAAATATAAAAACAAAAACAAAAACAAAAACAAAAAACTTCTGAGAGGTTAAAAAGTTTATCAAGGGGCCGGCCCCATGGCCGAGTGGTTAAGTTCGCATGCTCCGCTTCGGCGGCCCAGGGTTTCGCTGGTTCGATCCTGGGCACGGACATGGCACCGCTCATCAAGCCATGCTGAGGTGGTGTCCCACATGTGACAACTAGAAGGACCCATAACTAAAAATATACAATTATGTACCAGGGGGCTTTGGTGAGAAAAAGGAAAAATAAAATCTTTAAAAGAAAAAAGTTTATCAAGTAATGCACATCTGAGTTTTCATAATTTTATATTTTGATATGTTCATAATTTTATATTTTAATATCTGTTGATCCGAATTTTAGTGACTCTATTGTCTTTTGATACATACGGCACCTTGGCCCAACACTGGTCAAAGATATTTATGGATCACTAAATCAAAGTTTATTCCTAGGATTTACTCCTCTCACCTCCTAAATTCTTTCCCTGTCTGTTCCACTCCTAGTATGAAACTCAAGAAAAGCAGTATATTGACTCCTTCCTTCCTCCCACTTCTGTTTCCTAACTCCTGGCCCTTTCTCCAGAAACGGCCTAACCTTGCTTTGCCTTTTCCTCAGTTTGTTACACAGTCTAACACGTGATTGGAAAAGTAGCAGAGCAATAAACAGAAGACTTGAGGTCACAACACAAACGGAAAAACTTAAAAGCAATACAGTATCTGCTCATAAGCAAAACCACTTTAATTCAGTTAGAAAACAAAAGTCACACAAAGCTGAAACTGCTGAGCGTGAGGCAGAATGGATACAGTCCCCTCCTTTGGCAGGCACCTGATACGCTGATTCCCACTGTCACATATGAAGGTGGGAACACATCAATAAACGAAAACATACGGGTCCAAATGGCCAAAGTATAGTTATTGGATCACAGGAATCAGTCATGTGCTTAAGGTGGAGAGCTGCTGGCACCATCTGTTCCTTTAAGGCTCCACACAGTTACAAAGAGCTGACAGGAGATGAGAACAAGCTTGCCGAAAGAAGGGAAACCTGTGATGAGGCATCAGGTAAAGCCATAATAGGCAGGGTCCCCTCTGCGAGACCCAGCAAATTTACTGAAGCTTGCTAAGCAAAATCGCAGGACATGAGGCTGCATGTCAGAATGACCTCTGGGAGTATTACAGCTGACATGCTTAGTTTGGGCCAGAGTGGGAAGAGCAGGAGGTACAAAGAAGAGGAGATAAGAAGGTCAAGACCCAGTCCAGCAGAGGATCTTCCCATAACTGCACTAGAAATGGCAAAGGCCGACTGCCTCTAGAATCAGAATTGTAAACTGGCAGCCGAGAGGATTATCCAACTCAAGACTGGACCCACATAGGGTTTTCAAGATTTGAATGAACTATCAACAATAAATTGTGATTTCACGCAAAATCCAGATTTCCACCATCTCTGGACCAAGTGGAAGATCTGGACTAGGGTTGAGGAGGGGCCCAATTCTGCAGCTCACACAGTCCCTACCACTCCCCACTGTCTCACGTCTGCTTCACCATCATTTATGTTATCAACCAGGCCCATCTGGCTAAAAACTCATACTTTTGTGCACTCTCAAAAATGGGACAAGACAAAGCATTCAATCATGACTTCCATGAGAAAAGATATTCTGGTATCCAAATAGTCAGATTATAAATAAATTTTTAAACACCACTGTTTTGTTGTTTTTCTTTTTTTGCTGAGGAAGACTGCCCTGAACTAACATCTGTGCCAATCTTCCTCTATTTTGTATGTGGGAAACCACCACAGCGTGGCTTGATGAGTGGTGCATAGGTCCATGCCTGGGATCCAGCGAGCCCCAGGCCGCTGAAGCGGAGCACATGAACTTAACCACTACACCACTGGCTGGCCCCCACAATTGGTTTTTACTTAGCCATTCTAAGGACGTTTGCAGATTTTCTGAAGATTGTCACCTTTCTTCTCTCATCATATCCTACTAAGTTTGGCTCAAAGTTCTGGCCAATGTCACACAGCTTATATGGCTTGCCACACCACTTTCTGTATCCTTAAACATCCTGATCTGAGTCTCTGTTTAAGTCATGGCCTCTTCTATTAATAAACGACTCACAAAGTTTTTCAGTTTGACTTGTTACACGTCTTGTTTTGGTTTTTATTTCCCTTGCTTTTAAATTTCAAGACTGTATTTAAATCTATCCAGTAAAGGGAAAGAGGACTATGGAGTGTCCTGTTTTTGCACTTTTTTCACTATTAAAAGCGGTTTTTTTTTTTAACATTTTATTTTCCCTTCTTCTCCCCAGAGCCCCCCCAGTCCATAGTTGTATATTTTTAGTTGTGGGTCCTTCTAGTTGTGGGATGTGGGACGCCACCTCAGCACATCTTGATGAACGGTGCTAGGTCTGTGCCCAGGAACCGAACCTGTGAAACCCTGGGCCACCAAAGCAGAGCGTGCGAACGTACCCACTCGGGCACGAGGCCGGCCCCATCACTATTAACTAAAGGTGTTGTTACGCTGTGATAAGGTTTCATTTTCATACTTGTCTTTTTCTGGATTTTTATAATAAATCATTACTTATTAACCATTAAATATATATAGAGATAGCAAATCTCAGGTTTTAGGATGGGGATCAACACCTTGTTCTTAAATAAACGTGCCAAACCAACCTAAAATAGTTATTGCATTTCAGACCTAAATTTAAGTCTTTCCATTTTAAAATGTTAAAAAAATACACCCAAAGCCAAGAAAACCACGTTTCAGTATGTGTTTCATTTTTCTGGCCACAGAAAACATGTTCCAGCAGATGGGGCTAGAAATCTACAGATGATTCCTGTTTTAGAGCATCACACACTCTGATGGAACCCTACCTTAAAAAAGAAAGTTTATTTTTACTCACGTTCTATTACTGAAGAGAATTAGTGCATTACAGCCATGTTGCTTCTATACTACTGCGGGAAAAGTGCATGTTTTTCCTGTTACGTACAGATTACAGACGAAAGCTATAAAACACATATAGATTTTACATTACTAGTATGCTTTAGCTTTTAAGCTTTTTGACTACAACCTGTGGTGATAAATCCTTTCCTACACACAGTACACATATCACACACATATGTGCACATACGCTAATAACTGACACAAAGCTTCACAGAAGGTATCTACTGTTACCAGGAGGAATGCATTCTGCTATTTTCTGTTCTATTAAAATACAAACGGCTATTAACCACCCACTAGTTAATTTCACAACAGACTGCGGGGTGAGCCTGAAAACCGCTGTGGGCACCCTGGCATCTCCTCCCCTCCAGGCTCCATGATGCTCAGGGCTGCAGTGTCCTCCTCCTGGAAGAGAGGACACACCCAGCAGAAGCACAGTCGTTGCCATGAGAAATGATGAACCAAGGGGTGTGGGTTGACTATCTCAGCAGGCTATGATCTCAGCAAGGGAGACCAGGTAAAGAGTGGATTCCAGTATGGAGGGTGGGTGAGTAACTCCATGCAGTCAACTCCGAGGGAATGCTGTGTGGCAGGGCTAAGAGGACGAGACAGGAGCACGTGGGGTGAACGACACAAAGCACGTCTGCTTTCTGGTACAAAGTAGAGTCCTTTCCCGTCTCAGTCGAGAGGGGCAGAAAGGGCTCTGCCCCCACAAAGGATTTGCCAGCCTCGTGACGCCCACATGGGGAAGGAGGGGTCAGAGAGAAGCCAGTCTTCAGCCCCAGGGACACAGCACCTTGTCACACCTCAAGACTGTGTTCGCCTACGAAAAGCAAGATCATCAGCAAATAAACTTCCAAAACTATATTACCTCTGATCACAGAAATGCTTTCAGAGGGGCTGGCCCCATGGCCAAGTAGTTAGGTTCACGCACTCTGCTTTGGCGGCCCAGGGTTCACCGGTTTGAATCCTGGGCGCAGACCTACACACTGCTCATCAGGCCGTGCTGTGGCAGCGTCCCACATAGAAGAACGAGAATGACCTACAACTAGAATATACAACTATGTACAGAGGCTTTGGGGAGAGAAAAGGAAAGAGGAGGATTGGCAATAGATGTTAGCTCAGGGCCAATCTTCCTCACACACACACAAAATTTTAAAAGATTAAAAAAATAATGCTTTCAGAAACGTAAGATTTTCTATTATTTCCCTGTGCTTTCAGAGAGACAACATCCTGTTTTCATTTTTGCAAAACTCCAACTAATGTCATGTCTATTATATGATATTATATCTCCTATAATAAGGACCCAGGAACTATATGACTCCAATTTGGTGATAGAAAAAATTATTTTTTGTAAGACATTTTCATGGTTTTCTTTTTTCCCCCATCAGAAAACAAGAAACATACCACCCAGGAGGATTCCGTCCTTTCTCTAATTGTTGGGCTTCTCAGAACTGTTCAACTAGATTAGCTATTCCTACCAGGTACTTGGTAACAGTTATTTCTCTGTGCGTATCAATTTTTGCTCTATCTTAAATGTAATGCTTTTATTATCTCACTTGAAACGGCATTAAGTTTTGAAAATCTACTTCAAATCCTTTCCTGGAAGCAGAAAAAAGATCCTAAAGAAAAATAAAAAAATGAATTCAGGAAAATTGCTTCCAAGTCTAAGGACAGCCCAAAGAAATAATGCCTCTTTGATAGTTTTCAACCAATAACCACAACAAAAGCGACATCTCTGACCTTACAAGCTTCTTTGCAGGAAACCTGATTATGCTCTGTGCTGTAGATGTAACAAAAGGAAAAACGGAGGTGATCTTTCTCCTTTTCGGATCTGCCATGAATTCAGGTTTTTACACTTAATTTCATCTCAGTCACTTAAATACCGGATTTCCTGGGTTATCACACAATTAAGTAATGTCATTGAAACATCAGGAGCAGGGCTGGCCCAGTGGTGCAGTGGTTAAGTTCACACGTTCTGCTTTGGTGGCCCAGGATTTGCGGGTTTGGATCGCGAGTGCAGATCTATGCACTGCTTGTCAGGCCACGCTGGTGGCAGGTGTCCCACATATAAAATAGAGGAAGATGGGGGCCAGCCCCGTGGCCGAGTGGTTAAGTTGGCGCGCTCCGCTGCAGGCGGCCCAGTGTTTCGTTGGTTCGAATCCTGGGCGCAGACATGGCACTGCTCATCAGACCACGCTGAGGCGGCATCCCACATGCCACAACTAGAAGGACCCACAACAAAATATACAACTATGTACCGGGGAGCTTTGGGGAGAAAAAGGAGAAAAATAAAATCTTTAAAAAAAATACAAAATAGAGGAAGATGGGCATGGATGTTATACAGGGCCAGTCTTCCTCAAAAAAGAAAAAAAGACCAAAAAACCCCATCAGGAACTAGGAAGAAGGCGTGAGAGCAATACATGGGTAACTCTCCCATCCTTTCTACCTGGGGTTCAGAGAAACCATACAATTTAAACAAAACTAGAATCCAAAATAAAAATCATTAATTGACGCCTAACTTCATAACCTGAGAATCTGTATACTTGTTCAAAGGAATTCAACTGGGCAGGAGAAAAAACCACAACCAATTAAACATACTCAGGGCCTAGTTCTCAGAATCCAGATTTTAAGACAGACATTCTAGCCTGTTTTCTAATAGATTCAGCAGGCCTGATCAAGTTTTAAATATTTTCCATCCCTGTTTTTGATGTTGATGACTACTGACATCAAAGATGCCTTTGCGTCTTTTCCATTCTTTCCAACTTAACAAACATGCATTAGGCATAAGGCTCAGTTCTAGGTATTATGCAAGATAGAAAGGTTAACAACGGGCTTGACCCTGACCTTAAATATTTATCATTTAAAAGAGAAATGCGATTGTACCTAAGAAATTCCTGTAAACCTTTTAGTGAATAAAAATACCCCTTTCAATCTTCAAAGGATGAAAAAGCAAAAACCTTCTCATTGCTTTTTTTTTTTTTTTAAAGATTTTTTTTTTAAATTTTTTCCTTTTTCTCCCCAAAGCCCCCGGTACATAGTTGTATATTCTTCATTGTGGGTTCTTCTAGCTGTGGCATGTGGGACGCTGCCCCAGCGTGGCTCGATGAGCAGTGCCATGTCCGCGCCCAGGACTCGAACCAACGAAACACTGGGCCGCCTGCAGCGGAGCGCGCGAACCCAACCACTCGGCCTCGGGGCCAGCCCCCCTTCTCATTGCTTTTTGATCGTGCCTCGCCGCGTCATTCACCACCCCATCCCAGGCAGTCACCAGCGGCTAACACGAGCTTACCCGTCTGCATAGTTACTAAAAAAATTTTTTTAATTTAATGAAGAATTTCTACTGTTTGATTCTTCTTAAATGGGTGTTTTTTACATTACCATTCCTGGTCTGCCCTTAATACTAGTCTCCTCTTTCAAAGTTTCCTTAGACCAACAACTAAACCTTTCATAAACCATAAATTCATACTTCATTGCCTAGATTCTGTCCTTATATGTATTACTAATTCTTAAAATCAAGATTTGGGGGGGGCTGGCCTCACGGTGTAGTGGTTGGGTTCATGTGCTCTGCTTCAGCAGCCCAGGGTTCACGGGTTTGGATCCTGGGCACAGACCTACACACTGCTTGTCAAGCCACGCTGTGGTGGCATCCCACATACAAAATAAGAGGAAGACTGGCACAGATGTTAGCTCAGCGACAATCTTCCTCAAGCAAAAAGAGGAAGGTTGGCAACAGATGTTAGCTCAGGGCCAATCTTCCTCACCAAAATAAATAAATTAATTAATTAAGATTTTTAGTTCCCTTTGGCTATAAAGGTTTTACTATCAGGCTTCAAAGATCTTGATGAAAACATGCTGAGCTGTTTGCCAGTTCTCTTACACTGGCAGTACGGTTGTGGTGCAATACACATAGTGTAGAGAGTGAACGATCATTACGAAACAGAGGTGCAACCACCACATGTTTTTACCTCGTTCACAGAGAGAACTGGGAGGTTGGTCCTGGAGGGCTGCCTGGTCCGCGATGCTTTTAGTGGTCTCTTGATTTGCGGAAAATCTTGTTTAGGAACAAGTGTTTCCGTTGATACAGATGAGTAATGCCTCTCTAATATTTTTATAAACCACTTAGAACCTAAGAGGTTTGGTTTGTGAGTCACTTTCCTGTGAGTACCAAAAGACTTGCTGGTTGGAAGGTGTGCTTTTCCATGCCGGCGATGCACAGCGTTTAATGGACAGTGTACGCTTGTACTTGATGTTTTCTGGTTCATTTCCAGGATCTGGGACTGGTTCAAACCATCAGCTGCTGTACCAGGAAAGAACAAATCCAAGTTCTGACTTCTTGTCAGGGTGCCACACGCAGTCTCAAATTCCTTGAGTGGTTTTACCGTTCGAGGAACAAATCTTTGGCACTGACGTGCTTTTGATAAAATACAGTGAGATCCAGCCAGGGCTCTGAGAAGTCTGGTTGACATTACCACATCCCAAGCTATAAGAAAAAGAAGTGAAGAATTTAAAGCTCAAGTTTTTTCAAAAAGGTTTTAAAACTTACATAATATTTTCCTAGGTAACAAGCTTACTTCTGTAAAAAAAGAAATTGCAAAATGGATACTTCTTAACCTAAGTCTAGCAAAAAAAAAAACCAACAAGGTTAAAAAAAATAAATATAAGTATTTCCATCACTTTTCCTTTAGTTGACCTTTGGCCTTCTTTCTGGAAGATTACAGGATTATAAAGCTTTTGACATGACAAGGACCTTAAAAAAGAAAAATAGAGCAATGGGCTCTCTTCATTTACTTCATAAGCACATGAAAATCTGTACTTATAAATTCCTTTACGCAAAATTTATTGAGCCTTTACATTGAGATAAGCAATGAGCTAGTGCCGGGGACGCTTCCATGAAAGGACAGGCTCTCTCCCACCCTGGGGCCAATGGTCTCCCCGAGGAGACAGGCATTTTCAGGGGCTCCTTCTAACTCAGAGGAATAGGCCCTACGCCCTAAAAAGAACTACCATACAAGGTGCTGAGGAAACACATGGGGAGGTTGCCTAACTCTACATGAAGACTCAGAAAGGCTCCCAGAAAGATTTCAGCTGCTTCTCCACGGGGAAGGCACTTTTCAGGTTGGGGGTGGCCATGGCAATGGGGGTACAGGGTAAGTTCCCCCCTTATTACAGTATAAACTATTTGTTCTTTAAAAGCAAGTCTATAGGAGACAATCAATAATTCTTTCACAAAATAACATGTTAGATGCCAGAGATACAGGTATGAATCAAGGATCTCAGAATTCACAGTCTTGCAGGGGAAACAGACAGAATAATGTGATAAACACTAAAACAGACCTATGTACCAAATGCCGTGGGGTGCAGAGAAGGGAGCATGGGGGGTGAGGGGTGAGTGGGACATATGCACAGAGGTGACATTTGAACTGGGTCTCTAAAGGGCAGAGGGATCAGCAAATGAAACACCCAGGGATCGGCTTCAGGGGAGGGAGGAGTCAGTTGCAGGAGACCAGGACTGAAAAGGAGCCAGTGGCCGGATCATAACTGATCCTAAAGAGTTTCTACGGGTAGAGGGAAGCCAGAGCTTTTAAATCTGAGACTCACATGGTCAAATGTATGTTCAAGAAACATATACTTTGTAATGACGTAGAGGAGGAACTGAGAGAGACCAAGACGTTACTTACTGAGTACTTTCCACCCACCGAGTACTCTGCCTCACCTCATAATCACCCCGTGAGGCATTTTACAGAGAAGGAAACTGAGGCTTAGAGAGGCCAACTGCTCACAGTTAGCACATTTCAGAGATGTAATTAAGTCCCCGGCTTTTCCAATTCCAAACACAACACTGCGACCACTGCGCCATCTTACTCCCTCTAGAAGGAAGATGACAAGGAGTCGTCACCGCCGTAGTTAGGAGGTAGCACCTGCTGCTTTCAAAATACCTTCAAAAGTGGGCATTCTGTGTTTACTTCTAGTCCAACTAGCTATTTTAGTTCACCTTTAATGGTACTATGCCCTTCCAGTTGAACTAGGGGATTCTGAAAAAACAAATTATAGAAAATTTCATAAATTTGTATACACAGACTGGGCTTCTTCCATCCTCTTCTAGGAAACTCTCAGCTGCACACTCTAAAGACTGCCTTCCCACAGAGGCTCCGTGAAGCCTAGGACAAAGAAGGCAAGAGCTACAGGACAAACAACAGGTGTGCTTCCTCTCTTTGCAGAGAAAGACACAGGTGAAGCATTTAAGGTGTCCAACACACACACAAAAATATTTAGTCTTTGTTAAGAACGGAAACACATCTCAGTAAAGTGAAATTTTGTTACAAACTAAGGATAAAAAGTACACTAGGTTTTTAATTACCCTAAGAGCTCTGTGTAACACTGTTGGCATTGAATTCACATGCTCCTCCACATCATCCTTGTAATTCTTCATGGTTTCTACACCCAGGCAGATTGGCCGAGGGCATGGTTCTTCCCATCTCCTGGCCCCCAAGTTCCCTGACCTATCATCGTGGTCTTCCTTCCTTCCTCAGCCACTCACTCCAAGCTCTACAACAGCCATTAGGCACATGCGGCTACTGCGTACTTGAAATGTGGCTCAATAAAATTTAAAGAAAATTTTGTAATTTATACTTAAAACAAGAAAAGTAAAATATCTCAATAAGTTTTATGATGATTGCTTGCTGAAATATTTTTAGATATACTGGGCTAAAGTAAATTAAAAAGTAACTTCACCCATTTATTTTTAAAGATTCTAGAAAAGTTATTCTGTTTGTGCTTGGATTTTATTTCTCTCGGACAGCAGTACTCTAGACCGTATTACCAATAACTACAACCTCATATTCTCAATTTCAAGCATTCTACTCTCCAAACACCACCTCTGATCTTTCAAGATCACTTCTATCACCCAATTCCAATAATTCTTCAACCCAATAGGACCTGCGATGCAATTATCCAACCACCTTTTCACTGCCCCCCAGTCCCCACTTCACTTCCTCCACACCCAGTTGATATTCTTTGGACTACCATTATAATCTCTCTCTTCCACACATCTCAAATCTCTTGCACCCCTCTCACTTCCACATACCCACGTGACACACCCCCTACCTGAATTAAGCATAATTCACCTACTTTGTGCCTGTACTCCTGCAGCTGACAGTAGCTAGAGGCAACCAACTACCCAACCAACCAACCAACCACACTGTCTCACTTTAAAATCACGACCACTCGCTTCAGGTGGGCTTTTCACACTGCTCAACGATCTTAACCGTGTTTTCCTATTGTATTCTACTCTCCACTCTCTCCTCACACCTTCAATGTTCCTCCTCTTCTCTCTCAGTAATTACCTGGCTTACCTTTTGTTGACAAAACAGAAACAATCAGAAGAGAACTTCTACAAGCTCTCTGCTATCATCCATCTACCCGCCTATTGCTTCTGTGCCCTTATACTTTGTCTTCCCTTCTGTTGCTACAGAAGAGTTGCTCGTGGTCCCATCCAGAGCTAGCTCTTCCATCTGCACACTGAATCTCATCCCTTCCTGCCTCCAGATGGACTGAGTAAGCCCTTCTCCCCTCCTCTTCCAGGCCATTTATTTTTCTCTCTTTACTGGCACATTCCTATTAGCATACAACTGTGCTTTAATTTCTCCCATCTTTATAGAAACAACTCTCCCCTGACTCCATCCTCCTTTCCATAGACTGCACCTTTTCTCTGAGCTCCTTTCCTTTTAGAGGTGTTTCATTCACTGTCTCCAACTCCTCTTCTCTGATTTTTTTTGAACCCATTCCAATCAGGCTTTCATCCCCACCACTTTGCCAAAACCCACTTGCCAAGGCCACCAATGACCTCCACACTTCTAAGTCCAATGGTCACTTCTCAGTCGTCACTTTACCTGACGTATCAGCAACATCTGATACAGCTGTACATTCTACTCTCCTTGAAGCACTTGGCTTCTAGGATACCACACTGGCTGTTTTCATTGGTTGTACCTTCCATCTCTTTTCTGATTTCCCATCCCCTCAAGAATGGAAAAAGCCAAGCCTCAGTATTTGGGCCATTTCTGTATTCTCAGCTCTTGGTGATCTCACAGTTTTATGTAACATCTATACATTAATCAAGATCAAATATTTATCTAAATCACTCTCATACGCATAAAAAATAGTAACAGGCTCAAAACCAAGCTTCTGGAATCTTGCTGCAAATCCTATTCTTCCCACAGTATCCCACATTCATGAAATAGCAACTACATCCTTATCTTTGCTAAAGCGAAAAGCCTAGAGTCCGCCTTGTCTCTTCATTCTCCATGCTCAGTCTGTCAGCAAATCCCACTAACTTTACTCAGACCAGTTCTTACCACCAACCTGCTAGCACCCTGGTCCAAGCTGCCATCTTTCCCAGAGATTATATTGTAATGGCTTCCTAACTGGTCTCCTTCCTTTTGTTCTTGGCCCTCCTGCAGATTCTTATCAACACGGCAACCAAAGTGATCCTTTGAAAACTGAAGTTGGATCACGTCTTTCCTCTGCACAAAATTTGATGATGGCTTCACAGTTCAGTTGAAATAAAAGGCAAAGCCTTTCAAATGGCTTGCATGGCTCTCCATTCTCCACCCTTTATCACCACTCTAACATCTCCTAAACTTCTTTCCCCTGCTCGTTTTGTTCCTGTCACTCTGGCCTCTGGATCTGTGCACTTACTGTTCCTTATGCTCTTTCAGGTATCTGTTAGCCTCATTCCCTCCCCTCCTTCAGACCTTTGCTCAAATATCTCCTACCCAGTGAAGTCTTCCCCAACTGCTTCGTTTAAAATGCACCACCAGCACCCATTCTGTCTCCCTCCACTTTATATTTCTCCGTTGCATTTAACATTCCTTGCATACCTTTACTTTTAATTTATTAATTCACAAAACAAATATGAACTAAGTTCCTACCATGTGACAGACCTTGTCCTACAGGTGAAAATAGACAAAAAACCTTATCTTTTAAACCTTAGATCACACTGAGGGTGACAGAAAGTAAAAGTGGTAAATCAGCAAAATATATATTAAATAGCGACAATGCTAAGGGGAAAAAATAGGAGAGGAACGGATAGGAGATTTTTGTCGCTCTCTTCCCTGTAGAATGCAGGCTTCTTGAGGACAGAGATTTTTTGTTCATGCTGTGTCTTCCGTGACCACAGCGCCCAGAAACAGTTGATAATACAGCTCATATTTTCTGAATGAAATACGAGGCACTAATCAGTTCTCGGGCACATTATCTACTAAGCAAACCAGATCAGCTGGGCTCCGATTCAATGGATGCGGCGCTAATCTTTGGGAGCATGCCTTTCAATTCCTTAGGCTCAACCTTATTTTATCTTTGCAGTTACCGCTGTGCACTGGCCAAAAGGGCTTCAGGAAGTGTTTGTAGACTGAGTGCTTTCTGCTGCCGGCTAAGTCGACCAAAGATCACTGCAAGAGGCAGGGGGCCATGGCGGTGCCGGTGACACCTGTGACACCGGAGGATCAAGGTGAACGAGAGCAAAGGCGGGACCGTACAAGCCGCTAGGGAAAGGCAGGGCACTAACCTCTCCGCCGGAAGAGAAGAGGGACGCGCCAGGGACGCAAGTTTCCGCGGCCCCCACGACAGCACTGACAGATCAGCAGGGCTCCCTCCCGCTCCCCGCAGCCAGCCCAGCCCGGGCGCCCCTCCCAGCGCGCCGCACTGCGCAGGCGCACTGAGCTCCAAGCCCGGCGAGGCGCGAGCCGCCCTCGCCACGTGACCGCCCGACCACGTGACCCGCGCCGCCGCGACCTTTTCCGCGCCCCTGGCGCTGGCCCTCCCGGTCGCTGCTTGCTTCCGCCTTCCAGCCGCTTCCTGATTCCGCTCCTCTCGTCGCCCGCCGCTGTCCCCGCCTTCGTCCCCGGAAGATCTCCGCGTCCTCGAGCCGACCGTTGCTTGTCTCTTCTGCGGGTGCCAAATAAAGTTTCGTCATTCAAAAGCACGTTTTTTTTTTTAACGCGCGTCCCTCCCTCTCTGAGCCCCGCCTCCGCGCTCGCCCCGCCTCTCGTCCTGCGGCGGGTGCGGCCCCAGCGGCGGTGCCGGCAGCGCGGCGGGGGATGGCGGGGCGGCCGGCGTCGCTGTCGGCACGGGAAGAAGGGTTCGTGTCGCGCTCCTCGCCCAGGCCCCCGCTCCTTTCCCTCCTCCTCACTGTTTGCGGGAAGCCAGGCCCCGCCGGGAGCCTCTGGGTTCCCCGCGGGGACGCCGCGGCGGCCGCAGGGCTCCGTCCCGCCGTCGGGCGCCGCTCCCCGGGCGCCTCCTCGGTGCAGCCGGTCCCGGACCGCAGCGAACGGACTGCGACCCCCGGCGGAAATCTCCGGTGACCCCCCCTCTCTCGGCGGGGATCCGTCGGGCGTTTTACTAGGCTCCTGTTAATGTGTATCGAGCCGTTAACTTGTCTCTAAAGTGGTTTGACGCTCTGTTTTTTCACTCCCGCTTGTCTGTCTCGAGACTTTATATCCCCTCTTCCCCCTTTCAGAGTATTGCAGCTCATGGCTTTAATCATCTTTAGTTACTTTAATAAACGCACTTTTGGGGGGCTCAGATTCTCTGTACAAGTTAAGAATCTCAGATGTATTCAGAAACGTATTTCTTCCTAGGCTCAGGTTAATTTATAATGCCACTGTTAAAAATGCCTGTGGCTTTTTGCGTTTTAGGCGTCATGTCACAGATTCTAGGTGAAACTGTGGACGATCGTAAAACAGTTTGTATATCCATTTGTATAAATTGAATGGCCAGATTTATCGTTGAGATGTGTCCTTACTCCAAAATATTGCAAAACACAGGAATATCTAGAAAACAGTGACTTTATCAGGAGTAGATTGAGGCCAGAGAGGTACGAATGGCCCCAAATTTAAGCAGACGCTCCCTCGGGGTCGTGCAGATAATAAAGGGTGTTTGCATCCTTAATTTTTGAGCGGTGGGCGCCTCTGGCCTCACCCTAGTCCTGACCTGGGTGGGACCTTACCCTGGAGACGCAAGCCTCTGAGGAACTTTAGTAGCTGGAAAAATAGTAATACTTTCCAGTTGAATAAAATCTCAAAGGACTGTCACTTCTTTTTTGTGTCTGCTGCCTTGAAATTTGTGTCTTCCTGCAAGGAACTAGTAATGATTTTTAAAGTTCAATTCTGATCATAGTAGTTACTATGCATATAAGGTACTTGAGTTTTTAGAAGTGTGGTGAAGTCAAATTAAAGTTAGAAGAGGTAATTTGGGCAGAGGTATTTTCAAAATTATCAACTTTCTTTGTTCTTCTCTCTGATGATCTGAAGATATCATTGAACTGATCAGTTAAGTTCTGTGCTATTTGACAAGTGCACAGAAATTCATCCCTTACTAACATCTGCTTTTTCTAACTGAATCATGTATTTCCTTAACAAACTAATTATATATAAAATGATAATTTGTAAATCTTGGTTTTTATATGTCTGAAATCAAGACTATTTTAAATTTTTTGATGGATGTGTACTCCTTTTTCCTCATCCCAGCTTTCTTCATTCTTTGATACTTCTAGAGAATCTCTGATTTCTTGGTTGGGAGAGTGAGATGGTAACACGCCTTAATTTTGTTTGGGGGCAGAACAGCTTGGAAGGGGTCATTGTGAGGTGGGGAGGGCAGCAGGAAAAATTTTTGAAAAAAATTAAAATTGGTTCAGAATATAGACTGAATATATAGAGAAAAGAGAGAAGCAGGTTCATAAGTCTCTTCCGTTCTTTCTATCTTTCATTTTGTGTTCTGGCACTGTACGGTCTCCCAGGCAGTTTTACATCCTTCGCCTCATTCATCTTTCTAAGTAGGTGAAGCCACTTACTGAGTAATAGACCTGGGAGGAGAGCCTGTGTGATTTTTAGACTCATTCTTTTTCTGTCCTGTCGCATTGTTAAACTGGTTTCTGATTACAGAAAACACAAGGGATAGATTGGGAAAGGTAAGAGTGATTAAACAGACCCCGGGGGAGAATCTGGCATGAGAGGCACGAAGACCGCTTAGCTTTCAGGACACTCCAAAGACATTTTCAGATTTTCCTATGTCTTAATATAGTAGCTGGACAATACTGGTTTACCTTGTATTGTATTGTTTACCTTGTAATGGTTGTATGAAAAAGAATTTTAAATGAAGTGTTCCAGAAACTGAAAGATGGCCAATCTTTAGTATTAATGCTACTAAGTAAAGTGTCTGACTCTCTTTCTAGATCATTTGCGTATATAACAATTAAAGACAGAACACCGCAGATCTTAACCAAGGCTATTGATACATTGCATCGACATAAAAGTGAATTTTTTGAGAAACATGGAGAGGTAAGAATTGTGTTTTAACTTTATTATTAACTCATTAACAGAAACACAATAAACAATTTTCCATCTGGGGTAATGGTCATTCCACCTAAAGATAAAGAAGTCTAGCTTATAAAATGAAACTTAAAAAAGAAAAACAAAACAGATTAGGCAGGATAGTGTTGATAGATCTGTGTGTATTCTTTGATTTTCAACTTAAGAATTCCAAATTTGTGTTTTTTATCTTTATTTTTATTTATTTATTTATTTTTATCTTCCTCTCTCTCTCTCTTTTTTTCCTCCCTGAAGCCCCAGTACATAGTTGTGTATCCTAGTTGTAAGTCCTTCTGGTTCTTCTATGTGAGCTGCCACCACAGCATGGCTACTGATGGATGAGTGGTGTGGTTCTGCACCGGGAACCCAACCCAGGCTGCCAGAGTGGAGGGCGCCAAACTTTAACTGCTAGGCCATCATTTAAGTGCTATTTAAATTTTTATAATAGTTTGCGAAGGACATAAAATATAGCATTGAAATGTAGTATTTTTTCCTTCTTAAGTTTAGGCCCATAAAAATATACTACCCTAGAGGAATTTTATATATATGTATGTGTGTATATATATTTTATTTCTATATAGATTATTCGTATATGTTTGTACAGATTTATATTTATAACTTTTTTCATATTTCTGCAGAGAGGTGTGGAAGCTGAAAAGAAAGCTATTTCTCTTCTTTCTAAATTACGGAATGAACTGCAGACAGATAAACCAATTGTCCCCTTAGTTGAGAAGTTTGTTGATACTGACATATGGAATCAGTACCTCGAATATCAGCAAAGTCTTTTAAATGAAAGTGATGGGAAACCAAGGTGGTTTTACTCACCGTGGTTGTTTGTAGAATGCTACATGTATCGTAGACTTCATGAAGCCATCATCCAAAGGTACGTACAGAACCGTCAGGTGACAAATGCTTAGATAATTTATGCTTTTCTGAAAATTAGAAAATGATAAGTTTAAAAATAAAACCCAGTGGAAGCCTGAATTCAGTGCAGCAAATGTTAATGGCGCTGTTGGACATTTCTGCAAATGTTGTTGATACAATAGGTACTTGGTAATTATAATCCACTTGCCTGGAATAGACATAAGATTGAATATCTGGAGTAGGAACTAATTAAAAATTCTTTGGAAGAGTTACTTTTCTTCTAGAGTAAAACGTTAAATTTACTGAGCAAAAAATGTTAATTTGAAATAATTACTTATATGAAAATATCAAGATGGGACAAAGCAAGCATCTGTTTTGTTTATAAAATTGGATAATGTGTCAGAATTGATTTGGGATAAGGAGTCAACAGTGAATCCACATTGTTTAATCCACTATCTTACTCTTTAGCTCTGCTTTTTTTTAATGGCTAGATTGGAAAGGCTCTAACAGTGAAATAGATGTCCAAAATAACTTTTTATAGGCTTATTTTTACTAATTCAATTTTTCCTAGGAAAATTCTGATAATAGAACTCATTTATAGAGCAGAAGAAAATGCAATGTGGATCATTCTTTTAGCTGACAGGTTACAGAAATACAGGTTTGCTGAATAAGAGGAATCCAGTGGCATCTGATCCTAAGCATAGCATAGGATAATTTAAAGCAATCAGCAAAACCAGCACTAATAGTAAAATGAAAAAATTATTTCGGGACACATGCATAAATTTGAGTATACATTAGCTCTTTCTGTCTTAATCTTTATAAATTATTTTTAAAAAATCACAATTTGTTGTTTTTGCGGAGTAAGTATGTTTTAGGACTTATGCTCTAGAAGCAAAATAACACTGATAAAAATCTAACACACTGTGGCACACAGAAGGCACCAAGCAAAAGACTACTGCTAATCGCAGGAGCTGCCATAGATTGAAAACCAGCTATGGTTCAGTTACTTTGCAGCCCAGTGAAACATAGGTGTTATTATGGTTTCCATTTTACAGTTGAAGAAACTAAGGGTCAAAGAGGTTAATAACAGGGGCCTGCCCGGTGGCACAGCGGTTAAGTTCACACGTTCTGCTTCAGCAGCCCGGGGTTCCCCGGTTCTGATCCTGGGTGTGGACATGGCACCGCTTGGCAAGCCATGCTGTGGTAGGCGTCCCATGTATAAAGTAGCAGAAGATGGGCACGGGTGTTAGCTCAGGGCCAGTCTCGGCAAAACGAGGAGGACTGGCAACAGTTAACTCAGGGCTAATCTTCCTCAAAAAAAAAAAGGTTAATAACATGCCCAGGGTGACATGCTAGTAAATGGCAGAAGCAATATTTGGGCCTGGTCTGTGTAGATCAGCTTAGAGCTCTCATCAATCTGTGCTTTTCCGATTAGTAGGTCTGGATATCTGTCGAGGACTAACGTGAGTCTGACGTTCTTGG